AGATACACCGAGAGAGAGCATTGGGGAAGGCTGTTCATTTTTGTTTAAATTTACCTGTTATTTATATATCCAAAAATAGCACAATGTTTAAAATGATAAAGATTTTTTTTTATAAAATATACCACCTCAATTAATACAAATTCTTGCATTTATTTTTTGACCAATTTATATAGCTGCCCATCTCATCAAACAACTTTATTTAACATTCATATTGAAATGCCTTAAGAAAATGAAAACTGCAGAAATATCCATAGTTTAAACTAATTTTCTTCTGACATCAGAAAGCTAATGAATATAAAATATAATGAAATTTAAGAATAATTAGTCACTTAAAATAGAATGAGTACTGTTTTTGAAAGTGAAATAAAACTTATTTTATTGCTTTTATCTGTTTTACCTTTTTCTTTTGTTCTTATAAACTGTAATTTTAACCAAAAAGGTAGAGAAAATTATTTGTAGCTCAGGGATGAAATGGTGCTCTATGAACTTGGTTGTTTTCTTGCAGATGTTTCATTACCCAACTATGTAAAATCATTAGTGCCAGCTAGTGGTATTTGCTCTTAGTTTATATTTTAGTGCAGGGGTATTAAACTTTCGTCATCACGGTATCGTCACATAAATATCATGGCTTTTCCCCTTTGTTGAACTGGGTGTGGGCATGGCCAGCATGTGACACATCTGGGCCACAGGACACAAGTTTGAAAGCCCTGTTCTAGCAGGTGTTGACTGTTAGCAGGTAGCTGTTTTGATCATTATGTTCCCTTTTGGCTTGTTGATTTCCTCCTTTGAATAGTATGTAGACTTTGTTTATATCTAAGTGCTATTGGTGGCCCTTATATCAGAGTGCCAGGCTTCCAGGAATTCTCTAGCATTTTTGGATTTGGTATGGTCTAGGATGGTCACAGTTTTTCAGTTGAACTAGGAAACAACTAGGAAACTGTGACCATCCAAGATGAGCAAAGATTAACATCAAGATTAACATCAAACCAAGAATCAAGAAATAAAGAATACCTCAATTAAGAAACTTCCAAATAAGCTATATCATTAAAAAGCCCAATCACAGATCTTCCAAGACCAGTCCCACCAACACTGATAGGGCAAGTCATTAGAATGCAAATGGGGAGCAAACTCCATTCCCTGCTAGCATTGATGATGTTACCTAGTTTTTATAATGAAACATCTACAAGAAAAGCAACCAAGCTCAGAGACCACCAAGGACACCTCATTAATGATTTAAAAAAAAAACCAGCCACTTGGAATACGTCAGTGATTATCATTGTGGTTCATATAAGATTCTTAATGCTATAACTACAATCTATTTAATTCAAGAAGCAAAATCCTACATCTTTCTCATTTAGAAATAAACAATATATTTTTAATAATGCATTATCCTTATTTTTCATATTTAATTTTCCAAAACACACTTAAGCCTCTTAAGATCCTGGTCGTATATATCAGTGGTGGCAAGATAACATTTGATGGGCCACAAGTTGCCCCAATCACCCCATTTATGACAGCTAATCCCAAATCGTTATGTGACCACAGCAGAAATACGGGTGATTTTCAGCATTGCAATTTGGTTCCTACTCAAAACTTTAAGGGAATTAAAATTAACAAGATTCTCTGGGAAGAAAATCTCTCCAATCTCTGCCTTTAAAATCCCAATTCACGTTCATTTAGGCATAAAAGGCCACCACTGACATTTAAAAGTTTTGCTGTACAATTTCAGCAGTATGATTTGGACCATTTGAACTGGTGTTTAATCCTCCCAGACAAAAATCAGTACATTTTTTCCTAATGTCATAGCTTTTCATATTTAATATATATATTAATCTCAGATCAAACGATTGCTTTATTATAATAAATGCAAACTTCATATCCAAAACCTATTTCCAAATTCCACACTGTGGTTTTCATTTATTTCTAAGACATATGGCACATTTTCATAGAGACCATGCTTAGTATTATATACTTTTAATATAAACTTTCTATTTCTACTTTATTAAAAAGTAACATATAACATATTTCATATAACATATAAAATATAAATAATATTTTACTGATATTCTTTCCGTATTAGATATTATTATGAGACTTTAATTATGGCATTTCCAGATTTAATATAGAAGAATTAAGATTCAGTCCCTTAATAATCAATCTAATACAGTTTGTGACCCAAACTCAAAATTGTAATCATTCCACACTTAGCATTCTATAGTTATAGACATTAGATCTGAAATACTCCACTTTGGCTTAGCTTAGTTATTTCACAGTATGCTATTTTATTTTTAACACACACACACACACACACACACACACACACACACACACACACACA